GAAAAAGGGAGAATTTTGATTTTCTTTAAAAAGGGAGAATTTAGAGATTTTTGGATAATAGAGAATTTAGAGATTTTTTGATAAAAGTCAGACTTCTGAGAGTTTTGATAAAAGTCAGACTTCTGAGATTTTTGATAAAAGTCAAAAATCTGAGATTTTCCTGAAAAAAGTGACAATTTTTGCAATTCTTTGATAAAAGTCAGAATTTGGAGATTTTCCTGAAAAAAAATGAGAATCCTCAGATCTTTTGATAAAAGTGATAATTTTGCGATTTTTTGATAAAAGTGAGAGTTTTTAGATTTTCAGGAAAAGGTGAGAATTTTTAGATTTTCAGAAATAAGGTGATTGAGAATTACCGATTTTTTCATAGAATGGACTTCGTTTTTTTGTTATTGTTGCTCTATCGATGTAATGTAATGTCACGATCCTAATGTTGTCATGTTTTTAGTTTTGTATGTCTTGTTATGGATGTTGTTTTGCTGTTCTGTCTTCCCTGTCTCATGTCTTCCTCCTTGTTTCTTGTCTGGTCCTTCTCCATGTGTTTTCCTCCCTGTCCTTAATTTCCCTGGTGTGTGTGATTGTCTGATTGTGTTCACCTGTTGCCCTTGTGTTTCTCCCTCCTTTACCCAGCTGTTTCTTGTTCCTTGATTACCTCTCCCTGTATTTAGTCTTGTTTGTCCTCCCTTCACGTCTCATGTTTTTCACGGTCAGTTTTTGTGTTATTGAGCTACCGTTTGATTCATGCCATGCTTTTGTTATCAGCTTTGCAATAAAACTCTCTTTTTGTTTCTAAACCTTTTTCCGTTTTTGTAGTCTGCATTTGGGTCCTACCTTTTCCGCGATCTTACAGAGACCATAACATGTGGGCTGTGTTGGTTAATACACAGGTGTGCCTCCCTTTGTGTACAGCAAGCACGTGACAATAAAGAAGTCCTGTTTCGTTTACATTATACTTTTAAGATAGTAATTCTACACTTTTCGTTTTTTTTATAGTATAATCCGATTTTTAAAAAAACTACATTTTCTGAAAAAGTTGGGAATTCTGAGATTTTGAGAGAAAAAAAGTTTGAATTTTGAGATTCTTGGATAAAAGTCCGATTTTTTTTGATTTTTCTGAAAAAAAAGTGAGAATCCTCAGATTTTGAGGTTGAGATTTTCCTGAAAAAAGGTTGAATTTCTTTCTTTAAACACAATGAATAAGCATGCAAAAAAGAACAGAAAAAGCAGCATCAACCAAATGTTAACATCTGAATGTCATGCTAAGAGTACAGTGTTGAAGTTTTCAGTACAACAACATGTTCTTTAACTCTGTTCACTGACCTGGGTAAAAACCTGCTGAGCCTCCAGGGGCGGACAGGGCAGAGCCAGCAGGGTCAGAACCAGCTTCCTGAACCCTGATCCGGGCCTAGTGTCCTTCAGTACGCTGGCCCAGTGCTCCTCCAGAGGAACCTAAGATAAGGAGATAAGAAGTACTTTTTATGAGGAACTATTTGCAGCAGCAGCATACAATCGAATTTAAAAGTACAATATCTCAATAGAAATAAAATAGCATTACGAAAAAAAGTAGAAAATATACATGTTGAATTACACATTTTTATTTGATTTGATTTATTTCGAATGTGTAAAACAACAATACAAAAATAACATGGGAATTATTATACAATACAAAACTAATCAGTGTCAAATAAAACAAAAATATTACTGATTCTAAATTATATATAAACAGATGATCTACTTAATTACACATCCGAGAAGGAGTGGGAAGAAGTTTACACTTATTTAATCCCACCCTTTTTCCCAAAAACTAAATTACTAACATATATATCTTTTTGTTTCTTAAAGGTGGGGTAGGTAAGAATGTAGAAACCAGCTCGAGTGCGCTAGAATTTGAAAGTACGCAGCCGAAAATAATCTGCCTCTTCCTTCAGACTTCCTCACAGAGCCCCTCCTCCAACACACACGAACGCGCACATGACCAATGAGGGCACGAGATAAGTTTGTGCACAGATGGAAGGCTGACAGGCAGGTAGGCCATCCAGTTACTTTAGCCGGGCCGGCTCAGATGATTGGTCGTGCTTTTTACAGCGCCTCGGCTTCCACTGATGATGTTTATTTATGTATTTATTGTCAAAGCACTTAATATATTCATTGCTATCGGGATGTTAAGAGCATTCCATGGAATATAACAAAAAGTGTTTCTGAAGTGAATTACCTACCCCACCTTTAAAAGAAATACATTTGTTATTGAAAAACAAAAAAAACAAATAAATAAACAAATGTTGTGTTGCACTGTTGGAGGAGCCTGTGACCTCAGATGTTCACTGATATATCTACACTGTAGCCATGCACACATGACAATTTGCACTATGCACATCCTCTTTTTCATATATATCCTGCTTACTTGAAGTGAACAGTTATTTAAAGTTTTTTTTGTAAATTATTGAGTGTTCTTGCATTTTAATGTGTGAGTTTGTTTATACCTCGGGACTGTGGGAAACAGTATTTCGATCTTTCTGCGTGTACAAACATATTTTGCGATTGTCAATAAAGTTGACTTTGACAATAAAAGCCTTGAACCTTGAATGATATATACATAAGCATGTGTACCTCTGCAGAGTTCTCCCCTTCCTCAGCCTTCTGGTACTCCAGGAATTCAGCGATGAGTTTCTCCACCTCCTCCTCGGAGCTGCAGATTCCCAGCAAAGTCCCGAGTTCCCCGACTGATTTCCCCGTCACTTCCTGTCTGCTCCGAGGGTTCAGCAGCTGAGAGATGCTCCGGAGAGTCTCCTCACCGAGAGGAAGCTTCTCTGCAATGCAACCTGCAGGCAAACACAACAGGAACATTTACAATGTATAATAAGAGACGCCTCTACATAGTCTGTTTTTAAAACCCCCCCCTTAGCGTTCGACACCTTTTAGCTTTGAAATTGTATATTGATTTTACTATCTGGCTGTTGTGGTTTTACGATGGCCGTACTATATCAATTGTTTAATGCTCAAATAAAAGATCAGTCGGATTTGTTATGCTTTTTCAATTCACTCTTGAACATATTAATGATTATCTTTACAATAGAAAATCTATCTAATCTTGTTATTGCTGTGTTTTATTTAAGTGTTGTTTTTGTGATTTTTAACATGTTAAGTGCCCGAAAAGCGCTCTGTAAAAAATATATATTATTATTACTTTATGGCGATCTGCAATAAGATCAAATCATCTGATCCGTACCTGTGAGTGCGGCGTAGAAAGACAGCGCCTCCTCCTCGAACAGAGCCTCTGACTCCTTCAGGAAGTCTTCCACTGCTTCCCCTCCCAGATTGACCTCAGAACCAGACAGATGGAAACTCTTGTCTTTAAGGATTTGGGCGTCTCGTTCCTGGAGGAAGCGATCAGCAGCCTCAGGACGGAGGAAGTATGAGGTGTAGGTGCTCAGCAGTTTACTGGCCTCCTGCAGGATGAGCAGCATGTCGGCTCGGTCCACTTCCTCCTCCGTCTGCAGGCGGCTCTGGAAACTGTGCAGAGGTTTTAGAGCGTGCTGCAGGAACAGAAACGTGGCTCTGACTTTGGGATCCTGCAGCTGGGAGCAGACGGACTTGGCTTTCTCATCTTCGCCGTCACAAGACTTAAAGTACGCGATGAGATCCGTCCATACGTCCAATATGTTGGTGACTAACAGGCAGAACTTAAGGCAGCCGGAGTTGAGATCAAGCGGATCGTCTGAGCCGAAAACAGCCGTGAGGTCATCGTTCTTCGTAGAGCAGGAGGAGTGGTGGGTGTGCATGTCTACCATGAACTCTTGGACCTGATTGGAGAGCCCCTTGATCCCAGCGTGGCAGGAAGCATCAGCGATGGCGTACAGCCCTCCTATAGCGACTATATTGGGGTTGAGTTCCCTGAGTTGTGTGCAGATCTGCTCTGAATCCGCTCCATCGTCATCCGAATAAACAGCCACGAGATTATCCGTGTGCAACCCGAACTTCTTCACCGTCTCCACCACCGCCGCGGCTGTTTTTTTCTCTCCGGCGCTGTTCTCTGACTGAAGAGCATCCAGAAATTGTAAGCAATGACCGGAGGCGTCGACGTCAAAAAACCCAACGAGGACCACGGACACGGTGTCGTCTTTTCCCAGCGGCTCCCCTCCGAACACGTACAGGCAGTAAGGCGTGTGATGGCAGGCGGAGGTGATATCTTTGGGATACTGAGACCCCAAACGACAGCGAGCAAAGAGTCGAGCCTTGTGTTCAGACTTAGCCGGGCCGGTGTAGCAGTGCTTGTTGATGAAGCTAACGGCGGCGTCGCTACACTGCAGCGTTTCGGACAGCTGGCTCTGCCTCACGGTCCTCTGGTAGATTCGAGTCCTCTTCTTGTGTTTGTTAGTGTCCGCATGTCGCCGGAGTTCAACAGGGCCTCTCTGTAACGTCTTCAGGCTGCGGTTGCAGGAGCGGCAGTAGGTGTAGTTATCTCCGAGAGGACTCTGGTCGGCCCAGTCGTAAATATACATCCACTTTTCATTGAAAAGGAAATTACCGGATGAGCTCTGGATATCCTCTGACAAAGCGAGAGAGAAAGATTTTGGTTAATGTGAAAACCACAATGTGCTGCGCCATTTTATAATTAGTACATTTCAATGGCATGTATCTGACTCTACGGACCACAAGAACAGTGCCGACATATTCTCTTCTACTATAACCCTTTATGAACACACAGTTAGAAATACACTACATGTACTCCGTTTTTGTACATTTAACGTGTTTAGACTGTAGGCCTAATATAAGTGTAAATATGCACATATACATTTAATTGTATATCGTTGAACTGTCATCGTTACCACAGTCTGCTTTTAACACTCTTGTTTATTTATGTATGTGTCTATTTTTTACTGCAGTGAGAGTTGCCAAATAAATGTCGTTGTACTTTGTATGATGACAATAAAGATATATTCTATTCTATTCTAAATCTAAGTATTTCCAACTGAATTTTTAAGTCAAGTCCTTTTTATTATTTGGTCATTTTGGACGTGTTTGGTGTCTGCTTTATATCAGTGTTAACCTATTAACCAAGTCAGGGAATCCGTGTATCTACCGTCCATTTGTTTTTCTTTATTACACAAGTAAGCGGAAGAGCGTCTAGGCCTTTTTGCTTTTTACCCGTTTTTACCATGGTTTTTACCTTACTAAATGGTCAAATGGTCATTGGAGCGAGGGGCGGGGCGAAACTCACGGAAGTAATTTCAAAACAAAAGCACTCGTTTGCTTGGAACTGTGATAATATTATAAACAAGGTGAATTTAGCGATCACAACGAAAACAGCCAAGACACATTTTGAGCCCAGAAAAAATAATGTTATTAAGGGCCACAATGCTGTAGCTCAAAAGAAAAACATGAACAAAAAGAAAAAACAAGAAGATACACTATTATTAATGTATTATTCATTTTAAATTGAAAAAATATTTCTCCACCTCATAATAGCATAATAATATGAAGATGAAGACACAAACACTTATAACACTGATATAGTAATTTATTAACTTATAGCCTACATAATGCATAACCTATGGTAGGCTACAGGAATCCTGTATTCCTTTATCTCACAGAGATAATTTGCTTCATAATCGCTACTGTGCTATTATTATCCAATTATAACAATGGTTTAGTTTAATACACATTTAAACCATATCAAGATATATGAAAGCATTGTAAACATCTAAACCGGCTGTTTCAATAGTGTCAGATATCTTTATACTCTACCCCTGGTAACAGATGATGCGTCACGAGGAACCAATCAGAAATTCAGTTTGAATAAAATCAAGTCAGACTTCTTGGTTATTCAGGTTGCCAGTGTTGGTTTTCCCCACTTGTTGCTTTCAGTTCCTTTTTTCTGTACGCAGTATTAAAGGTAAGAACTCTTTGATTTCTGTCATTGATATTAGTGAAACAGCTTGGAACTTGACCTTACTTAAGGTATAATTTATGTGCGTATGCTTACTGTAAGTGTGTGTGTTTTTTTAAGTATTCAACATCCTATTCTTGGTGTTAAAAAATATGGGGATATGTTTGTGTGTGTTTACAGGTTTGTGTGTGAGGATGCCGAACTCTGAGATCCAAAACCAGCCTCTTCTGCAAGCCCCCACCCAGCAGGCCGAGATCAATGGACAGGGGTAAGCATTTATATGTACCTGTTTTTGTATCTTTATGGGGTCCAAACACTACCAAGGGACCAAAAAGCTGGTCCCCACAAAGTAAACTATTTATTGTTATTAGTTTCTCGATACTTCCATACCATAGGTGTTGTGTTATATACTCACAAAGATAGAGCAACTATTGAGTGACTAGGAAAAATGATAGTAAGTAATATTGCCATTAACAATGTCAGAAGCTTAATTGAACTAAAGTTTAAACTGTTTGGACCAAACCATAACAGAGAGTGGTGTTTTGACCCATTTAGTGCAAAAAATATATTCTTTTATTTACAGATGTGTAAATAACAGCGCTCTCCTTCAAATTTTAATGTATATTTTCTATCCTCCAGTCAGTTATTGATTTATTTGTGTCCTAATTTAACATAATTAGCAGGCTCTTGAAAGTTGGTTAATTAGTGTAATACATCGCAACATGTAGAGTAGACAGACTTGTCTAATATGTTAGCGTTTACAAAAACATTACCAACCAATACCTCCTTTCTTACTGTCCTAATGTGCACAATGTAGTGACTGCTTTTTCGTCTTTTGTTTTCTTAGTTATGTTCTCTGTATTTTATGTTTGTGTTATGTGTAACGTTGCTGCCTTCTTGGCCAGGTCAGCATTGAAAATGAGATTTTATCTCAATGCTTTTATCTGGTTAAATAAAGGTTAAATAAAAATAAAAAATAAAAATACACATAGACTATCAGTTCGATTTTAAAGCAGACTCAAAGAGGACATGACATTTAAAGTAATGGGAATTTCCAAAAAAGGCATTGGTGTGAGCTTAACAAAAGAGAAACGGCAGATACAGAAACATGCACTCAACTGTCTGCTTGGCAACAGCTGATGTAATGTTTCAGGTATACCATGGCAGAGGTTCCTGTTTCAGGTTATGTGATTGTCTTCAATGTTCCTCATTCTTAGCATTCTCATTCACTTCGTCACTTTTCCTATCTCTTCTAACTGTCTCTCTTCCACCAAGGAATTTAGTCTGATCTCTTTGTCAGTAACATATAACATATCAGTATTTCCCCTTTTTTGAAATGTAATCTTAAAGTCATTATCAGGGAAACGTTAGAAACTTTTACTACATGTCACTTTTTCTAATCAAATAAAAAATGTATTCCCTCTCCACTTCCCTCATATTTTCCTTTGTGCATTCCAGTGTCCGCCCCTCTCGAGCCTATAAGGTGGCCGGTTTGACCCTGTTGGCCTGCGTCCTGATTGTGGGCCAGGCGACGATCGCCTACTTCCTCTTCAGTCAGCAGGGTGACATCAAGTCTCTGAAGGTGCAGAATGAAAACCTGAACTCAAAACTGAGTAATGGAAGATCTGGTGAGGAAAATCTAAAGAAACGTTACTTAGCAGAATGTATTATGTCTTGTGAGCAACCAAATAATATGATGGAGAAAAAAAGTGTAACATTTATTTAAAATCCCTAGTGACTTAAAACTCACCGTGCTCTAAAGTTAAAAGTCAATTGAACAATTTGTGGCTCTGACAGTAAGTTGCTGAGACTTTCTTAAAGTTGCATGTGCCTCTGAAGAAAAAAACACAAAAATGTATGAATTTACAAAAACAAAATACATGTTATCATTGTCCTTTGTCTTCTAAATATGGACAGTATAGTGGTTCAAGCTGGTTATCTTTGGCTTGAAATGTAAACTTGAATGATACCCAGTTTCCGTTCATCTCTATAGGGTCTTACTTAAATGTAACATGCACTGTTTCTCTTTCTGTCTGCAGTTGCTGGGTCCGTGCGGATGCACATCCCCATGAACGCCTTTCCCACACTGTTGGATCTGACCACTGAGGAGGTAAAAAAAATGAAAAAAATAAGCCATTTCATGAGGTTGGCGACTGATATAATCAATGTTACAGTTTTTTTTTTTAGATAAACATTACCAAACACTTCTGATATGGAGCCTTTCGATTTGTTTTGTCAAGCAGGACACTGAAAATAGACTTCTCAGTGCAATCAGATGAATCTGTGGTGTTTTTCTATAGCACTGTTTTGTTAGGCATCTTACACGATGACAATTATGACAATATCGAGACAAATATGCTGAATTTTATTAGCTAATTCCATACAATAAACCTTAACCATTTCATCAGTGGGTCTGAACATGCAAGTATATTTTATTAAACATATGATTTGATTTAAAAATTACAGTGACTCTTATGTTTTTGTATTGCTTCTCAATATCCTTCCCTGATTTTATTGCAGGACTCCACCGAAGTCCAAGAAAAGAAAGGTATGTTCTGTTTGTATTCACTTTGTATAAATAGTGTATGATATAGTAAATAGGGATACAGTCGGTGTATTTATCTCCACATTAGAAGACAATGATTACATGTGCTTAGTTACATTACCTCCTCTCCATCCTCTCCCAGTCCATCGTCAGGCCACTCAGTGCCACTTGGAGGCGGCAGGTGTGAAACCTGTTGAGATTCCAGGTTTCCATCCGGATTGTGACGAGCGCGGCCTCTACCGTGCGCAGCAGTGCTTTCTGGAGAGCTGCTGGTGTGTGGACACGGCTACTGGCCAAGAGATCTCTGGATCCCTGACCAGAGGACAAGCTAGCTGCGGTGCACCGGTCTTCACTGGTGAGACAAGATAACTGCTCTTGAAGTCAGATTGAGAGTAGAGGGTTTTTTTGGTCACTTGACTCACCTAAGGAATCATTTATGTGAAGTTTTGAGACAGAGCTTTATTTTGTATTCTCGGTTTTTGCTCATTTATGAAGTAGTTTGAATAAATAACCTGTTTGTGAGTCATTTTACACCAATATGAGAGCTTGTATTCATGGAAAATAAGCTAAATTCCACTGTGGCAAAACTAATCACTAGCACCCAACAAACACGTTTTCTCCATATTGCATATTGTAGATTTAAAATTGCTGTTGTGTTTTAATGTTATTATAAATCATATCAGTCCTGCTTGTTTGTTTATAGTTAGTAGGTTTATCTCAAAAGCTCAGAATTTTAGAGAAGTTAGGTTAGGCAACATATCAGTTAAATCCTTATAATTATCATTTCAAATGAAATATTGCACTTAATTATATAGGAAAAAAAATATCTATGTTTTTTATTGTGATCCAGATCTGGATGTAAATTTAAAATATCTAAATATTTGTAATACTTAAAAAAGTATTATCTATACTGACTTAAGCTACAAAGTAAATGACACACAAGTTTTCTCTCGGTGCAGGCAGCAGGGGCAGAATGATGCTTATGCCTGATGTAGCTGCCTGATCCTGAGGTGAGTTCACACACGGTCCCCCACATTCTGCATTAATATACGTTATATCTGTGAACA